TAAGAGAATGAAAAGAAACCACAGACTGACAGAAAATGTTTGCAAAAATATAAAGAACTGGTATCAAGGTCTGAAGGAGGAGGAGTTCAAGATGCCTGACTGGATGCCCAGATCTCCCCTCTGACACAAAGAAAGTCCAAAACAACACAAAGATAATCACACGTTGAATACACTGTCTAGGAGAAAAATACCAGAATTCAGCAAAATAGTGAAGAAAACCCCCAGAGGCTCAGAAACTCGGGATCGCAGTGTAGAAAGACAATTGAAGTACCCAATCAGGAACAGCTCAGAACCAGGAGAGACTCCTTACGGTAGAAAAAAAGTAAGCAAAAAAATCCCCAACTGTCTACACTCCTACCACAGACACCTGCAATCCTAGCTACAAGAGAGCCACATAGCCTTTGCAGGCTGTCAGCCCAGCATAGGGAGCTGCTTGGAGTCCATGTGACTGCAATGTTCCAGAGGGGAAAATTTACACTGAGGTCCCCATCTGCCTCCCCATTCCCAGGAACCCAGGTTGCAGCAAGTCACCATTTTTGAATCAGAGCAACACTAGAGTACATTTTTCCCACGGGCCCAAAAGCCCCAGCATCTCCACATCCCTAAGGCCCCCTCGACATCTCACCACACCATGACTCAAGCAGTCAAATCCACACAGCACCCCGCTCCCCTGGGAACAGGCAATCCAGCACAGTGGGGAGGCTACTCCCAAGACAAAGAGAGCCAATACTCATCTTCCTCACAGCCTGAGAGCAGACTGATCAGGCCTCTTCTGTCACAGCCGGCTGCACTGCTCTCTTCAGCGTAGCTCTTGCATGCCTCTCCCGGAGGTAGAGAGTGCCCTGGCTCCAGGAAACCTGCCTAGACCCACCCGCTCCACCTGAGGAGCTGCAGAGAGCCCCCACATCACTCTTGAGGAGGCAGGGTCCTGCTCAAGGCTCTAGCAACCACACCCACAGTCGCACAATGAGGAATCATCTCACTCCAGTTAGAATGGCTAATATCAGAAAGACAAATAAATAAATAAATAAATAAATAAATAAATAAATAAACAACAAATGCTGGTGAGGGTGGGGAGAAAAGGGAACTCATACACCATTGGTGGGAAAGTACAGCCATTATAAAAAACAATATGGAGGTTCTGCAAATAACTAAAAATAGAACTACCATATCATCCCACAATCCCACTGCTGGGTATTTATCCAAAGGAAAGGAAATTAGCACACCAAAAGAGATATCTACACCCTCATGTTTATTGGAGCACTACTCACAATAGCCAAGATATGGAATCAACCAAAAATGTGGTATATATACACACAATAGTATACTACTCAGCCATAAAATAAAATGAAACCCTAACATTTGTGGCAACATGGATGACCCCAAGTGAAATAAGTCAGGCACAGAAAGTTAAATACCACATGTTCTCACTTGTATGTGGGAACTTAAAAGTTGACCTTATAGATGGAGAGAGGAGAAACGTGGTTACTAGAGGCTGGAAACGGGAAGTGGGAAGGGAGATCAGGAGATGTAACAAATACAAAATCAAAGCTAGATAGAACAAATAAGTCTATAGTAGTGCTAGGCATTTATAATTAACAATAATTTACTGTATGTTCTCAAATGGACAGAAGAGAGCACACGTTCAAGATGTCTGACTAAAGGGCCGAGTTCTCACCTCTGACACAAAGTTAGTCCAAAACAAGTGGATACTCACACACTGAATAGAGTTTCTGAGAGAAAACACTAATTCAGCAAAAGGGTGAGGAAAATCCCTTGAGGTTCAGAAACGCACAATGGCAGCATAGAAAAACAGGTAAGCCTCCTGACCATGATCACCACTTCTCCTGGGGGCACAGAAAGTCTCTCTTGGAGCCAGCCAGATTCCTTGCTGTGAGGAAAAATAGGCAAGGGGAATCCCTGACAGCCCATGCTTGCCACAGATGCCTGCAACCCAAGCTACAAGGGAGCCATGGAGCCTTTGCAGGCCTTGAGCTGAAGGGTGAGGAACTGCTTGGAGCCCATACAACTGCATTAATTCAGATAGCAAGATCACACTGAAGACCCCCCAGCCCCTTCCTATGGGTCTCAGGCTGCCACAGGACATCATCATTTTGGGATGGGAGCCAACATCAGAGTGCACTTTGCCCTGGGGCCCAATAGCCCAGGCATCTCCACAGCCTTAAGGTCCCCTCATCACACTGTGAATTTGGCACCCCAGCCCATGCGGCTCCCTGCACCCCTGGGAACAGGCACTCCATCACAGCACAGAGGACATCCCCAGGACAGAGAAATCCAGTGGTTTGCACTTTTTGGAGCCTGATTGGGGCCTTCTGCCACCACCAGTGGCCCTGCTCTCCTCAGTGGAGCGCCCATGCACATAAGTCAGTATATAAAAATTGCTCTAAATTCCCCTCTGAAAATGCACTTACTTCCCCTGTACTTCATCTATTAAAAAAAAAAATTATATAATGCCTTGATTTAATCATGGAAGGCACCTGCAGTGTAAGAATCTGAACTCTTAAGGTTTAAGTATGAACAAATAAAATCATGCATAACTTTGCATATAATTCATATATAGTGAAGATGACAGTGAACTAAAGAAACTCGTCAATTAAAAATACTGCATTATTGAATTAGTGTTTAATGGGTATAGAGTTTCAGTGTTTGTAAGATAAAAAAGAGTTCTAGAGATCTATCTTACAACACTGTGAATATGCTTAACACTACTGAACTGTATACTTTAAAATGGTTAGGATGCTAAATTTAATGTTATATGTTTTTTACCACAATAAAAAATAGAATTAAAATACTATATTATTTGTTAGCATCCTTCATGAGAAATTAAGAAAAACCTAAAATTAATGTTAAAATAAAACTAATATATATGGCAGAAATAATAAAAAATAGAATTAAAATACTATATTATTTGTTAGCATCCTTCATGAGAAATTAAGAAAACCTAAAATTAATGTTAAAATAAAACTAATATATATGGCAGAAATTTCATCTCTAATAGTTTTTGCCTGTGCAATTTCCTACCAATACCAAAAAAGAAATAATATAGGTTGAAATTAAAATCTATAATTTGTTTTTATCTATATCTTCCCTAATCACTGAATATACCATACAGAAAAGCAAGATTTACTAAACTTATTTTAAATGTCTTTTACTATAAAGATTATGGTGAATAAGACGAATGATTATACATTCTTTGCCTTCTCAATAACTGAGTCCAGTAAATGATTATTACAAAACAAACATAAGTTAATCTTTTTCAATTTAAATACAGCACTCCTTAGTCACCTCCATTTTTAAAAAGTTATATACAGCATACCCTTGGAAAACGTGGTGCAGTTGAAAATTGCATATAATTTTCCCTATGTTACTCAAATAGTTAAGAACCTTAAGCTGTTAAGTACTTAAGGAGCTGGCCCTGGGAACCCACGCAAATGAAAAGGAGGCACTCCATTTACACGGATTTCTCGTACATGTGGACCCATGCAGTTCAAAACTGTGTTGTTCAAGGGTCAACTGGATATGACATGTCTACTGTTTCATCATAGCAATCCTGTAGTATCATAAACTAAAACAGCCACTCAAAATGTGATGGTTAAGTTAAACAAACAATCCAAAAGATCCCTACCCCAATAAGGGACCACACAGTTTTCAAAGAAAAAATATAAAGTTTCTTTAAAAGTGAGGTATATGAACTACTGGTGATAATAAACCTTGGGTGATACACAGATACACATTTTTAATTTTAGTTATTATAAATTCATTTTTATAGCTAGCTTATTATGGCAAAGAATATTGATTCCCCCTAGCTAGATTGATAAAGTTTCACATTGAAATAAACTTATTTAGGTATAAGAAGACAATTTAAATAAATACATTAAATTAAAGTGACAGAGAAATCTTGATTTTGCAAAACTGTGAAGGTATGATGTGAATGACTAAAGTTGGAGACGTGCTGCTGTAATTTATATATGCTATAGAAAATAGTGGTGCCACTAATGTCAGGCATTCTGCTAAGTACTTTACATACACTATCTCATTTGATCCTTAAAACAATTTATTAAATTATTACTATATTGATTTTATATATTTTAGACTAGAAAACGAGGAGTCAAAAATGCTAATGGACTTGTTCAATGTCACCAGAGATAGTAAAATCACAGAGCCAAGATTAGGAGACAACTCTGTCTGTTGGATTCTAAAGTATGAGTTCTCACTATGCTATGCTCTCTCTCTAGTCTGTACAAGGAAAGACTGAGAGGATGAAGTAGACCTGAAATGAATTTGTTCAAGGAAGACACACATTCATCACTTACTGTGATTCCCGATATAAGTTCATTTGCAGTATGTTTGCTTGCCATATAGTTAGAGAGTAGTTATAGTAGTTGTTGGGGCTTCAGGCACAAGCTTTGTTGAGCCAGAAAACATTGGCAGAAGAAATACTATTCATTGTGCCATATCTAAGGAAAGGATCAAGCTATAAAGCTCTCTGGAACATCAAGTTCATGTTCCTTATATCCATATATCCTTGTACAAGGGATCTTCAGAAAGTTCACAGAAAGATTCATATTATTTTTTAATTATATTTTTCCATGAACTTTTTGAAGTACCCTCCTATTCCATGTACCCAAGAACATCTGATTACAATTACTGGCTAAATAAAACTTAACTATTACCTACACCTAGGAGCCCAAGAGAAGACAAAGCACACTTCTGCTTGAATGAGGATCTCTTCTGGTCATTTCTGCTTGTCATATAGTCCAATATTGAAAACCATACCAGTGATGGCTCCCAAATGTGTGTAAATCCCAAGCACAGAGAACATAGGAACCATTGGCCTACTGAATTACACCCTCATTTGACTATGGGACAAAGAATTTTAAAGAATTAGATTTTATTAGAACAAATTAAAGAAAAGATGTAAATCTTCCCGTGCACACCACAAAACAACTCTGTATTATGGAAAACTGGAGAATATGTACCTGAATTCATTTAGAGCGTCAACTATTCGATTATATGCCAAACTCCTCTGACTGGCATCAGCTGATCGCCGGCTCATTTTCATAGCCTTGGAAACAATCATTAAATAGTTAATTTTTATACGAATCATGGGCAAAACATGAAGAAAAAAAGACAAAGTCACATATTTACACAACACTCTATCGACATTTATCTAAAAATAATGAAGGTACACATATTTATAGTAGTTTTCTCTTCTGCATCTTTGGTCATTAATAACTGTAACAAAATTTAAAATTTTCAACAGTAAAATAACTTATTATAACTGTCAAACCACAGAATATCAACACACAAAGAAACCTGATGTTCACAGTTTCTCGATTACAAAAAACTACTTTTTTTCCCAAACAGAACAAGACATAATGATAATTCAATAACAATAGCTCCTGGTTTTACTCTTATATTTCAGGTAATGCTTCTGTTAACTTTTCTAAAAATTTGGAATATAAAGATCCTACTGAAAGATATCAAGTTATTGGTAATATTTGCTTTGTTAAAAACATATTTAGCCTAGACTGAAAAGCCTTGATCTAGGTAGGAAAAAAAGATCAGGATTAGAACATGGAGGTCAATGGGCCGGCCGGGTGGCGCACTGCTACAGTGCACCGCTTGGGAGTGTGGCGGTGCTCCCGCCGAGGGTTCGGATCCCACGTACAGACCGGCCGCTCACTGGCTGAGCGAGGTGCGGGCGCAACACTGAGGGTTGCGATCCCATTGCCGGTCCTGGTCCGGTACGGGCGCGACACTGAGGGTTGCGATCCATTGCCGGTCACGAAAAAAGACAAAAAAGGAAGAAAAAAAAAAAAAGGAAAAAAAAGAACATGGAGGTCAAAAAGAACTTTATCTGTAATTTTTTTAGACTTTCCTGAAGAGAAGTTAATTCTCTATATAATTTCAAATTGATTTAAAATTTTTAAGAAAACATAATTTAAGAGAAGGTCAGACTATTTCAGGCCACAAATCATGTTCCTGTACATCCAAAAGTTTCATGGGGCGGGGGGGGGGACAACAGAAGTTTCATAGGGTAAAAGTGAAACTTACCTGTTAAGAGACTAGCAATTTAAAAAGAAGTGAATATTGTTTTGCTAGAATTGAGTGGTGTTCTTCCTCAATTTTATCAGCAATAATATTTTTTAATTACAGTATAGATTTCAAAAGGTAGCACAGATTTCAAATTAATTGCTAAGGTATTCAGAAACGAAATCTGCAGCTTTTATTTATTTTTTAAAGTGAATAGTTTAAAACCTGGCCCTAGAAGATAATTTCTGTGGACAATCCAGTGTTTACTATATTCTATAATTAACTAACTACCACAGAACTTTTAAAATTAAGTCCCACTCAATTTATGTAAAGGCATTCATTCAGTTTTATCTTTCAGCTTTAATAAAAAATGGGATATGAAACTTGAGCAAATATTCAGACAAATATAACTATTAACAATGTACACTTTAGGATACAGAATGGTCAAAGCATTAAAAACATGAAAACATTTAAAAAGTAATCTTTAATGAGTTCTATAGTGCCTCTCTATTTCAAATGTTATACAAAGCTTGAAATTCTTCTCCAAGTAACTCAAAATATCAGTTCAGCCACAACTATGAATTGTGTGTGATGACTTTGGCAACAACAGACCACGAAATGGGACAGCAGCCAACTGAAGAAAATGCAATCAATGTCTAACTTAGGAAAAGGTAAATGAAAATGGCCTCGATTCATTTATTCAGTAAAAAAGTATAGCTAATAATCAGTTTTTTGACAAATTCAATGTGAATAACTAACATCTGTGTCTTTATTACTGAGTTACTGACATGCATGCTGTGCTTTCTAAACCATTCTAATTGGTCTACCCACCTCTAGCCTCTTATACTAATCTCTTTTGAACACACTGCCAAATTAATCTTCCTAAAGCACCACTTGCAGACAGCCTTACAAACAAAATCAAAGCTCCCTGACAAGCATTCTAGATTCTTCACGATCATGATTAACTGTGCCAGTCATACCACTCCAGTACTCCCTTTCATATCCTTTCCCATCCACGTAGTGTCACAGAGATTAAAAACTCTGGTTATAGCCATGATTCATTAATTCAACTTCTGGGAATCTCTTCTAGAAAATAATCAGGAAATTTACCAAGATTTTAACTACAGGGTAGCAACAACTGTGAAATAAGTAGAAATGACCTAATAGGAAAATTTTTACTTAAATTGAGGAAGCACACTAATATATATTTAAGAACCATTTATAATCATGATAAATGTGTATAACGATTTTTTTTAAATGGGCATGTAATTTAAAAAATATGAACAAAGTATAATCCCTACCAATTCAAAGTACAATATGCATAGAAAAGTAGTATCTGACACAAGCAATCACTCCCTCCTCCTTGAAACACTTTCTTCACTTGGCTCCCCCAATAAAGTACTCTCTCTTGTTTTTCCTCCTAACTGAATGGCCAATCCTTTTCCATCTCCTTTGCTGGTTCCTTCTCATCGAAAATGGTGAAATGCTCCACAACACAGGTTTTGGTTCTCCTTTCCTCTATTCCCTATCTCAATCAGTTTCATGGCTTTAAATACCATCTATACACTGATGACCTCTTCCTTAATCTCCAGACTCATAAAAACATGTGGATGTCCAAGAGGCACCACAAAAAAACACCTGATCGTCCTCCACCAAACTTATTCCACCTGTGGTCTTTCCTTCTTCAATACTGGCAATTCCATCCTTCTAAATACTTGATAAAAATCTTAGAGTCAACCTCAGTTCTTTTTCTCTCATACCTTAGTACCTCAGCTAATCTCATTAGCTCTACTTACAAAATGCATCCAAAATCCAACCACTTCTCACCAATTCCATCAATACACTGGTTTGAGTATTCACTGTCCCTCACCTGGATTATTGCAACAACCTCCTGAGTGGTTCCAAAACATCCATTGTTGCTCCTAGAAATCTATTCTCCACCAGCAGTAAGAGTGGTCCTCATAAATAATGTCATTCCTCCACTCAAAACCCTCCAATGGTTTCCCATCTTTCTTAAGAGTAAATGTCAATGCTCTTACAATGATATCCTAAGGCCCTACATGATCTGGTCTCACTTCAGTCTTGCCACTTGGACCTCCTTGCTGTTGCTGAAGCATCAGGCTTACTCCTGACATAGAACCTTTGCCCTTGCCTGGAACATCTTCTCCCAGATAGTTCTAGCTCACTTCTTCCATATCTCTGGACCATACACCATTTTATAAGGGGCATTCCTGACTGGCCTATAAAAATTAGTAAACCTTACTTCCAGCATTCCTTAGAAAACTTTCTCTGTTTTTCTTTTTTCCACCGCACTTATTACCATCTAAATTAATACACATTCACTTGTTTATTTGCTGTTCCATGAGGTCAGCAGTATTGCTTTTTCCACAACTTCTATTCAGTTCCTAGAATAAGTGCCTGTCATGTTACAGCCCTCAAATATTTATTTACACAATGAATAAATGAATGATCTTAGATCTTTTATTAGATAGTGAGCTCCTTAAAAAGGGTTGAATCTATCTGCATCTCCAAGAGCACTTTGTAGGGCACCTGCACAGTGCCTGTTAATTTTTCTGCCAAATGAATAAACATAATGCTTAATAAGAATAAGATTCAAATGAAAAGATATAAATATTTTATAAGATACAAATAAATAACTATGCTTACCTGTTCTATTGCACTCTTTAATTTGTTCATGTGGCTTTCAAAGAGAGGAAAATGTGAAAAAAAGAATTCATTAAATTTGTTATTTTCATCTTCATCTTTGGATAATGAAAAGATTACCCCAATTGCAATCTTCTTTTTCCTCACAATTCCTGGGTTAGAGCCACAGCCTTCATCTGACAGATTAAAGCTTTCTTCTATAGACCTTAAAAATAAATGTTTTTTTTTAATTTAAAGAAATAAAAATAATGAAAATCGCAATTCAATCTTCTTGCCTATTAAATGTAGGCAAGCTAAAAAGGTCTTCTGCTGTTTTACCAAATAAGACTAAAATTTCTATCAATTGTATACCTTTTTGAAAAATATACTGGCTATTCTTTCACACTCATGTACTTATAATAAATCTTAAAAGACACTTAGATTGGGAGCCTTTTTGTCCAATTTAGAAGTTGCTGAAAAAGTAGATAATTCCAATTCATAATTAACCTTAAAAATTAACCTGAATTTTAAGGCTAATAGATGAATCTGGTACAATCTCTTCACTGTTCTAGGATCAACTTGTCTGTCCTTTGACTCCAGAAATAACATCAAAGATGAAGGAATAAAGGGAACAAGTAAAGGAGAAAATGAGAAGTTTTATTATCTACAATAGTACTTAACAAAGACTAAAAAAAAAAAAAAAAATCTTTCAAGAATTAACTAACTTGCCAAAATAGAAACAGAAAAAACTGAAATATAAAAACACGTAGTACACGGATCAAAGACCTAAACATAAAACTCTTAGAAGAAAACACAAGACAAAAGCTTCATGACATTGGATTTAGCAATAGTTTCTTGGATATAACATAAAAAGCACAAGCAACAAAAGAAAATGAGTAAATTGTACATAAAAATTAAAAATTGCTGTGCATCAAAGGACACTATCAACAGAGTGAAAAGGCAACCCATGGAATGGGAGAAAATATTTGCAAATCATTTATCTGGTGAAGAATTAATATCATTATTTAGATGGCTATTACCAAAAAAGCAGAAAACAGTAAATATTGGTGAGGATGTGGAGAAATCAAAACCTTTGTACACTGCTGTTGGGAATGTAAAATGGTGTGGCCACTGTGTAAAACAGTGTGGTGGTTTCTCAAAAAATTAAAAATAAAATTACCATATGATCCAGCAATACTCCTGAAAGCAGGGACTTCTTGAACAGTTGTTTGTACACCCATGATCACAGCACCATTATATACAATAGCCAAAAGGTGGAAGCAATCTAAATGTCCATCAACAGATGAATGGATAAACAAAATGTGGTATGTACATATAATGGAATGTTATTCAGCCATAAAAAGGAATGAATTTCTGACACATGCCATGGCATGGACAAACCTTGAAGACATTATGCTATGTGAAATAAGCCAGACACAAAAGAACAAGTAATGTATGATTCCACATATGAGGTACCTAGAGTAGTCAATTCACAGAGACAGAAAATAGGATGGTGGTTAAGAGGGGCAGGAGAGGGAGAAATGGGGAGTTATTATTTAATGAGTACAGAGTTTCAGTTTAGGAAGATGAGAGTTCTGGAGTCAGATGGTGGTGATGGTTGCACAACAATGTAAAGGTACTTAATGCCACTGAAGTGTACACCTAAAAATAGTTAAAATGATAAATTATAATGTGTAACTTACCACAATAAAAAAAAAAGTGCAACACAACTTAAAAGATTTTAGTTCCACACTTAAAAAACAAAAAATACAAGTCCAAGCTCTAAAAAACCTATATAAAATTGTCTTTAAGGAACTATTCAATCTTGTTCTAAGTTTAAGTTCCCAACTTACCATCTAGGAAATACCCCATTTTCCAAACTTGTTGTTTGGCTGCGTCGCCAACGTCGTTGGTAGCTGCTGGCACAACTTCGGGTAAGTGAGGAGTTTGGGGAGGGAAACGGAGTGATAAGCAAGCTACTGAGAGATGCTGTTAAGTCAGAAGAACAAGTGTAATGTATAAGTCAACAATGAGTAAGAATAATGACAAATTTCTTTTTAACAAATTTAAGAGCAGGGTGACTCAAATTTTTCATTTTTCTTCATGAGCCTCTAAAATTTCCTTTTAAAGAAAATACATCATTCTTGGAGTAACATCTCAGATGAGAAAAATCATATATTAATAGTGTGTTGGCAAGAGACTCTGAGACAATCCCCTTTTGGCACTCCCCCCACCCATCCCAGGAGAAAATGTTATTTTGCAACAAGGCATTATCCCTGTGGCCACCAGACTGTCCCCTAACTTAGCTAAACCTTTTAGTCCTTAAAATAAAGGAAATCTGATGCTTTTCAAATTAAATGCAGTAGGTTTTAAGAACAAAAGCTATATTTAAAAATAAGTGTTTGAATGGCATTTAAAGAGGTCATGTACAAGTACTCATTACTCATAGATCACTTGTAAATAGGTAGTCAAGCCTACCACTTTTGGGGGTGGGACAGTGGGTTACTGGCTGGTATGGGGATCCAAACCCTTGACATTGGTGTTAGGAGCACCACACTGTCCCAAGAGACCTAACTGGCCAGCCCAAGCATACCACTTCTAATAAGAGGCATGACTATATCTACTAAGCTCCAAAAAAAGAGTAGGCACTATAGATTGCTCTTTCAAACATTCTAAGGTGACAGACACATTCCAGTAGACACTAATTATAACTGCTGCAATCCCCTGACTGTGGGGATTATTCCCTTTCCAAAACCCTTCTCTGAAATCCACAAGAGGTTTCTTTCCTGGGGTGTTTAGAGATACAATCCTTTATCTTTCCTTGGGTTAGGGATCCTCCCGCCCTTCTTCCCTCTTTATCTAGAGAGGATAAGATGTGACATTAAGGGCTTGCTTTTGTTTGCAATATTTTAGATTTCCATCTTTATGATTATAACCACATACTGAAAATCTGTAATCAAAACAGGGAAGTATTATCATCATCTATAAAACAGTACATGCCAGATGATAAATTATTTTGGACACCAGACACCAGAACTAAAAACTGAGACACCGTCATTATGAAGATCTATTCATTAGAATTCTGACAAATTCAATGATAAAGGGTAAAGCTTTACGTGCTATGCAAACATGTGGCCAATGAATTCATTCTAAAATAGTTTCTTAAAAAGACTGCATTTTATCAATTAGTACTGTAAAACTTTATAGTCTAAGATTGGGTATATACAACTAATTTGGGTATGGCCTCAGTGAAAAATCAAATGGCACCCTAAATTTAGAAAAAATACATTTTACTATATTCTAGTATTAAAAAATAATACCATTAGAAAAAGAAGAAAACACCCAATTAACTTAAATGGCATATGTGAATTTAATGACTTCAAGCAGCCTTAAAGACCAATCTATAGCCAGGGCCTTACGGATGAAGAAAATGAAGTAAAGAGAAATTAATTTATCATCTCCCAAATCTTGAATAAAATGAGAAATAAATTCCTGCCACAGAAAAGAAGACTAAGTCTCTAGATTATATAGAAGCAAAAAGTATTAAGAGAAGTATACTCTAGATTCTTAAAAACAAAAATACCAAACTCAATTAGGAAAGAAGGGTGAGATGATTTGAAAGATGCAGACTCTTCTTATTAGAACAGTAGTTCTCAACCCTATCTGTCCATCAGAATCAGGTGATGCCTACACTCTTCTCCAGGCTAAATCAGAGTCTTTGGGAGTAGAGTTCAGGCACATTAAAAAAATTTTTTTGAAACTTCTCATTATACAAATGCACACCTAGCGATTACAATATATGGTAAGGTTAAACTTTCCATTTATACTCTAAACTGAGTCATAATTTAGATAGAAAGTTACATAATGTGAAAATATATGTGGCTAACTACGGTGAATTAAGTTTCTCATATCTAACAGTAATTCAAGGCTAAGATTACTTCTCTTTTCACTTAATGCTAATCTCTAGGCCCCAACAAACACTTTTCCTTTTAGTTAAAACACTTTTTTCTATGCCTTTACCTGTATAACTCCTATTTATTTCTCAAGACTCAACTCAAGCATCATCCCTTTGTAAACATTGCTGGCACCCTGCCCCTAGCCCAGGCTAAGTTAACTGCCCTTCCTCGGAACCTCTCCATGCAGGTCTATGACTGAACACATCACAAAATGAACTACAACAGATGATTTTCCTAACTATACCCCTAGTAGCCTCTGTTCTTCTGTGCTCCTTAAGGGCGGAATCTGGGCTTTACTTTTTTTTTTTTTTTTTAATCCCCAGAATGTTTCAATAAATGTTTGTTAGACATACAAATTTTGGAAGAGCCCAATTTGAAAGAAATATGTACAACATTGGTATGAAATGCCTAAGCTTTCCTGGACAAGTGATAATCTGACAATTTAAACTCTAATTAGCAGCAAGCAGATATAAGCAAATGTGTTTTTTCTACTATGGTTTCTAAGCAGTCTCCTGAGCAATAATTTTTTTCTTGTACTGACTAAGCCTAAATCAGCATGAACTCCTCCATGCCATACTCCACCAGATACACTTGATAGTAAACATGAAAAATAATAAATTTAAGAGATTTCTCTCTGTTTTTTCCACAATTCTCTTGTAAGGCTAATATAAATATGAACAAATTGTGAACACAGAATTAGACGATAAAGGCAGGGAAAAAAATCAATTGTCAAATAACAGCAATCTTACAAAAAATCGGATTAATACATGAACCTGACATTACCAGAGCGTGCTATGCCACTGTCCCTGTCCTCATTCAGCTCTCTTCCTGGCATGTCCATTGGGTTGCTGTGAACTGTAATCAAAACAAAACTGTCAGTTATAAAACACATTACTATTCAGATGGACGTTGTTCCTTCTAAACAGCAAACTAAATCATGCTCATCTTATTGCATTCCTTTTTTTCAATGCCATGGCACCAACCCAACACCAAGAGCTATTACTCAGTTGAACAAGCTTTGAGATCTGAAGATTTGACATATAGTATGAAAATAATCTATGACATAATATCTAAAGAAACAAGGGGTGAGTAAAAATTCATATTTTAGAAGCATATTCAATGACAAAGATATTCACAATATAATATTAAATGAAAAAGCAAGCTACTTAAACAGTATAAATGATAGTTGCTGGAGCTAAGTGATGGGTATATCATGGTTCAGTCTACTGATTCTGCCTATATCAATGTATATTTCAAAATTCTCCATAATAAAAAGTTTAAGAAATTTGAGTAGTATAATCCTAATTTTGTTTTTTAAAAAATCCCAAATATCAGGTATTTCTGATCAACAAGATGGCTAATATTTTTTTGCCTATTTTTTATATTTTCCAAATTTTCTGTAATATGTACACATTGTTCATATCTAATATTTACAGAAAGAATAAATACTAATTAAAACAAGAAGTGCTAAATTGATACCAATCTGAGAACAATGATGAATAAATTTGTTCACATTCTGATAATTTCTACCAGAAGGTTGCAATGTTAGGTAACCTACTGAAACGTGTAAAAATACCGAATGATTAGAGTCCTGGATACACAAGCACGACACACACTCTACAACCATCAATTTAATGATATAAGCAAATATACTCATATATGCCTTTTATAGAGCATTATAATGGTGCTTGTTCATCTAAATCTTAGCTCTGAGAAAAATTTTTCTTATGGAATAGTGTAGATCAGAAATTTTACAATAATAATAAGATAGGATATTTTCTGCAATTGGTGAATTATGGTACAAAAGCTACTCAGCCATGGAAACAAGACAGTGTCACACTAAAAATTCCAAGTGGTATTATAAGAAATAGCGTTCATACTAAATTTTGGTCTCAGAATCTAAAGTCAAAATCATTATGACATGAAATCAGAAATGACAAACAAATTTAATGAAAATGTCAATTCTAGTGATAATTCAATTTATAGAAACTTTCAGAACATATTCAGTAGAAAGGAATTAAGTTCTTATACTTGCTAAGCAATGTTTTCTTAACCACAACCTCCTCAATTGCATTCATTTACTCTCTTGTTTCCACAGCTTAACTATAGGTTCTGGCTGCTAGGGCACACCAACTAGTCTACCCACATAGCACATCGCAAACCTGCAAAGAAAGAGGCGCTCCTGATCAGGCGGAGCGGACCCTGCTCAGAGAATGCCCGCCTGGGGCTGCAGAACTGTGAAAGACCTACATGGCAAAAATGTAAAATACACATGAAAGAGGGCTGTTAGAGAAGCTACAAAGCGTCAGGGAAAAAAAGGTAAGCTAAGGCAGCACAAGAGCAGACCAACAGATATAGATAGAAACCTTTAAACTAAATAAGAATAATTCAAGCTGGCTTCCCTTTTTAAAAACAGGATGGTACCCCTTTGGTTATGGTTTATGTCAAACAACAATTTCATGCCTACTTATTAATAACTCCATATATAATAATAAAAATAAACTTCTGCTATACAAAGTAATAATTATTTTAAATTTTCAATCCTTTCTAACCTAAAACAATGTTTTCAAAGATTTGATAAAGCACAGTAATGTTATAATTTGGCATTTGCCAAATAAATTTTTCTTTTAAAAGGCCAGTTTTAAGATTCCCATATTCTACTGCAATTGCAGTAAGGAGAAAACCACATAAGCACTTGGAATACGGCACACAAGGAGCAAATACAAAAAAGGGATTGTATTGACAAATAAGTGTAAAAATTGGTTTTTTTTAATCTAGTGATAAGCTACAAAGTAACAAAAGAACACAAGGTTCCTGGACCAGGAGTTAGCTATGGTGGAAACAGGAATGCCAGTGCAGCCTGTCAGGAAAAAAAAAAGCCAGTGCAACTCATGAGCCAGACTCCTAACTGTCCAAGTGGACCAGGAGTTAGCTATGGTGGAAACAGGAATGCCAGTGCAGCCTGTCAGGAAAAAAAAAGCCAGTGCAACTCATGAGCCAGACTCCTAACTGTCCAAGAGAAGTGGCTGCCACACACTTGACCAAGAGAAGATAACAGCAGTCTGAAAATCCCAAAAGGGCACTGCAGCCTGAAAGGAAGCAGCTGGGTTACCTGTTAGTTTATGCTTAATCAAGAGAGTCTAAATAGTCATGTAGGAGGTATACCTAGGATACCATAGAGGGCTTTATGTTTTAAAAAGTGACAATTGTATTTTTCAAATTGCTAATAATAATTATTTTTCTAGGTATTTCTGTAATTATAGTGCATATGCAGCAATCCTTCCATGTCTCAATGGTCAGCTCTTTCTTCAATTCTCCCTAGCTTATTTTCCTAATTATTTCAAAACTTAACCCACTTCTTTAAGCTTCTTCCCTACGCACCTCTTCCTTACTCTCAGCATGACTTTGTTTCCTGTAGTATGTACATGCAAATATGTACACACACACACACACACACACACACACACACACACACACACAGAAGGGGTTACCAGATTGAAACCCTCCTTTTCCTACCACCCTACCCTCCAAATTCAAATTTTCACCCATCCCTGCCTCCCGCCTGCCTAAGCAGTAATAACAGGTAACATTATTCAAGCCTTACAATGTGCTAGAGACTTGTTCAGTAAAAAATCCTGAGGGGTCTCTCCCTCCCTTCCAAAGCTATTCTAAAGTCAGCTAGGACCCCAACCCCTCACAGACCCTTTCAGGGGCTCTGTGAGGTCGTCCATTTTCCAATGACATAGCTACACGAGACAGGATTTTCTTGACACATTTCAACCAAAATAACATATCACAAAAGATTGAATACAGAGGCAGATATGAGAATCCAACCGTCTTCTAAGCCAGACAATAAAGAGATCTGCAAAAACATTAAATAGTGCCACCCTTCTCACTAAATTTTTTTTTGCCTTGGATATAGTTATTTCCAAAATATGTTATGTATGTTAACATGTTAACATGAAAGAGATTATTTGTGTTATTTTTTAATGAATTACTAAATAAGTATTTTTAAATTTTCACAATTTTAATTTCTAATATAGTATATATCAATGAATGTAACCCACATAAACAAAAGTAACCTGTAGTCCTAAATAATTTCTAAGTGTGTAAAGGGGTTCTGAGACCAAAAAGTTTGAGAACCACTGCCTGCAACTTGGAAAAAAAACTAAACTCTGAGTCTCTTCTCAACTCTGGCTTCTATTCTCCCTATTGAAACTGCTTACACCTGGGCCCCCAAAAGCCTTTCTGCTGCTTAATGCAGTCTATACTATCCTATATTACTTTACAGTAGTATCTGATGCTGACTATAATACACTGTGAACTTTTCCCCCTCAGTTTCCATGATAACACACACTACAGTTTTCCCCCCTCTGTCTCTTTTGTGTTTCTCTTCTCCTATCCCATCCTTATAGCCAGCATTTCCAAGGATTCCATCTTCAATAATCTCTCCTTCTTAGTCTTTACATTTCTTAGGTCATCTCATCCATTCCTATGCTTTTAATTATCATTTATGTGCTGATAATCTCAAATCCAGATACAGATAACTATCAATCAAAGAGTTGTGCTCCCCCTTCCACAATATGAAGTAGGCAGCTGACCACCCAGGGACCATAATTCTCAAATCTACCTATATGTAGGTGGGGGTGTGTGATTTAGTTACCACCAATGGAATATGTAAAAAAGTGATGTATATCACTTTCAGACTGAGGTGGTTATTAAGGAGATTTGCCTTCTCCCATACTCAATCCCTTTCCATTGGCTTGATGCTGAGCACAACCTTTAGGGCCCTCATGGTGAAGAGGGTAGAACCAAAGGAGATCGGACATCTAAAACAGTTTTTCTGCTTAGAGAAAAACTATTTACCAATGAGGAACTACCTTTGGGGCTTTACATAAGACAAAAACTTCTACTGTTTCTAAATTATTATACATTCATTAGTTTTTATGTTACAGCAGTTACCACAACAATACACCTATCTATTTAACTGACTATAATGGATATCTTCATTTGGATAACCCAGAAATACTTCTAATTCAACATGCCTAAACCTAAAATCATCAGTTCCAATTTCTTCTATTGCTCTCAGTGAATGGCACCAATATCCATGCAATTACATAACCACATAGCAAAGTGCCACCCTTGATACTACCCCCTTTTCCCTCACCCTTTCTATCTAGTTATCTAATCACGTCCACTCTATTTCCCTTATATCCCCACTCACACAATCTTACTCTAGGTCACTATTATCTGTCACTTAGATTACCATAACAGCCGTTTAATATGGGTCTCTTCACAATCCCACTTGCTCGCTTGAATTTGTTCCCAGTGCAGTTAGAATCCATTCCCACTGCAGTTAAAATATTCAAGTCTAATCTGATCATGTTGCTGTATTCTGAAAACCCCTCTATGGTGGCCTTGAGAATAAACCACAAAGATCTCCATCTATAAGGATTGTAACTGACCAAGAAGTACAGCTTCTATGTTCTGAAATCCACTGCCACGTTTGTGCAAGGCCACATAGGCCATATGCTACTCCCAGCCAATGACTGAACATAGCAGGTATACTAAGGGCAGCCCTACTTCTGAGAGACACAGAACACTTCTGACAATCAGCTCTGACTCATAGACTTCCCAATGGCCTTACCAAACCTTCCTTGGTTTGTATAACAGGCCAGGACAGTCCTGCACAAACTTCTATTCCTCTCTCCTTCACTCAGGGTCAGACTTACATCACAATTTGATGGACCTCTCAGCCTTTCCCAGCTCCCTCCTCATTTTCTTTCACACAGTCATTTCTCCTAATAAAATTCTTGCATGTTTAATCCACCTGTTTAGAACACATGGAGGACTCAAACTAGCATAACTTTCACTGGTGCCCAACTGCACAAAGCATAAGTTTAAATTCCTCAGTGTGGCCCGGTGTCCTTTGTGATCTGGCTCTTGGCTCAATTCTTTATTTCTTTTCATTTCCTTTACTCCTACTCTGTTACATCAACACGGACTTATTCAGTATCTTTCCATATTCTATGATCTCTTGCCCCTAGGTTTGCGTAAATACTACTGCTTCCCCCTAGAATATTTCTTTCCCCAACTATCTGGCTAATCCTTTAAGGTTAGGTCTCATATACACAAGGAGCATTCCCTAACTCTCCAGGACTGACTTAGGTGCTGCTTCTCATTTTTATCACACTCTGCTCTTAACCCTGTCCAAGAATTCACTATGGTATACTGTAATTGTGGTATTACTTTTCTGACTCCCACTAACTACAAATCCACTTGGGCAGGAACTGTGTCTGGTTCACCACTCTTATCTTCAGGGCCTAGCAGATTCCCTGGCATATTACAGGTGCTTGATAAGTACTTGTTGACTGATTAGAAATTAAAAGAAAATAAGAAATGATGCTCAAATATCCTTGACTCACAATTAAGAGTGTGGAAATAAAAGCCACTCATTATTCAAAGTCTGTACTATGTTAAATGGATTAATTTTCTACTCTATATTAAAACAGAGAGGATGAGTATATCTAGACTCTAAATGTAATTTACTTTTGTAAGTGATAATACATTTGTATTATTAAAATCAACAGCTTTTTTTTTTTTCCTTTTTGTCTTTTTTTCGTGACCGGTAATGGGATTTAATTTACTTTTGTAAGTGATAATACATTTGTATTATTAAAATCAACAGCTTTTTTTTTTTTTTCCTTTTTGTCTTTTTTTTGTGACCGGTAATGGGATTGCAACCCTCGGTGTCACGCCCGCACCACACTCAGCCAGTGAGCAGACCGGTCTCTATATGGGATCCGAACCCTCGGTGGGAGCGCCGCACTCTACCGAGTGCGCCACTGGGCCGGCCCAAAATCAACAGCTTTTAATAAGCCCCTTCAGCTTTGAAAAGTAACAAATTATAAAGAAAAAAGATTCATTTATTTTATTACATTTTTACTTTATTAAAATCAATAAAGTAGGGCCGGCCCCGTGGCTCACTCGGGAGAGTTGCGGTGCTGATAGCGCCGAGGCCACGGGTTCGGATCCTATATAGGGATGGCTGGTGCGCTCACTGGTTGAGTGTGGTGTGGACGACACCAAGCCAAGGGTTGCAATCCCCTTACCGGTCAAAAAAAAAAAAATTAAAATAAATAAATAAATAAAAGTTCTTACTAAACAGGAAATGAGGTAAATATTCATACTATTTTAATATTCTAATTGCTGTCTATTCCCTGAGCTCCTTTATGCACTGGAAATACAGTCAGCAGCAACTTAGTTGCACTTTTTAGGAAAAATGACCCAAAAATTTGGAAACAATTTGTCATTTTAAAATGTTGAACGTAACAACAATAACTATCACCTAACCAAATTACTAAATACTCTTATATTCTAATAAATCTTTAAAGAAACATCAAATTTGAATATTTGCTCATCTGAATTATAGGTCACAGAATGAGCACATTTTTTTGAGTACCATTTTTAAATGACTTAGGGTTAGCAAAGAGAGAAGCGAGAAGGTATAATAGCTCAGCTGAAATATTCAAGAGAGCTAGAAGGGCTTTTCATATCAATGACTGTGCCTTTCAAAATGCATCAAATTTAAAAACAAAAACAATAAGACAAATTAGATATGTGTTCATCAGTTCTCTTTTCTCAGATACAAAATAAATATTATGTTCAAATATATGAAAGGTATGTTTTCCAAATAATACAAATGTTATACATACTTGTAATTTTAATGCCTTTTCCACTTACTATATTTCAAATGTTTTGCTCTTAAAACAGGTCTGTTTTAAGAAATAACTTAGAACTCTTGTTATACTGTTAACATTTTTTAAACTTATAAAATCAAAGGAACCATTTACCTATATTTCCAAGTACTCCATTAATAACTGTGTTATTATCAGCCTTTAATGTACTGTTGTCCTGATTGATGAATTCAAGACTGTCTTGCAGCCTATAATGAGGAAGAAAAAATAAATTCCAAATTCATTTTATGCTTTTAATGGCAATTCTTTGAACATCTTACTGAACTTTTAAGTGCAAAAGTTATTTTAGACTTTAATTTCTTTTTTAAACATTTTTTAAATAATAATAATTGTAATTGTACATATTTATGGGGTACAATGTGATATTTGGACACATGTATAACAATGTGTGATGATTAAGTCAGAATAATTACCATATCCACTGTTTCAAACATTTGTCATTTTCTTTGTGTTGGGAACATTCAGAATCCTCTTTTCTAGCTATCTGAAGTTATACAATAAATTACTATTAACTAATGTCACCCTATATTACTATAGAACACTAGAACTTATTCCTCCTGTCTGGCTGTGATGTTGTACCCAGCAAAACAATTTTTAAGTTTTAAGTTTCCCTATTAGTACTATAAAGCAACTAAAGTAATTATTTAAATCAGGAATTAGCAAACTACAGCCTGAGGGCCAGATCCAGCCTGCTGCCTCTTTTGGTAAAGTTGTATTACTGGAACACAGTCAGGCTCATTCATTTATGTTTTGTCTATGACTGTTTTAATACTACAATGGCAGAGCTGAGAAACTACAACTCACTGTCTGGCTCATAAAGTCAAAAATATTTGCTTTCTGGCCCTTTACAGAAAAAAGCTGCTGATCCTGATTTAAATCACAAACAAGGTTTCCCATCATATTTTAGATTTGAAAATATTTTCTAAACATCTGGAAGAGGAGAAGAGAGGGAGAGGAGAGGGAGAAGGAGAGAAGAGGAGAGGAGCAGCAGCCTATATTATTTCTTTTAGTAAATCTTTTGGAGATAAAATTATGCTTTTAGTGTAAAGTATCCTTTCTTTTTTCTTAATTTAATGCTATTTTGTATTGCTTTATAATAAATGTTTGTAACTGAAGCACAATAATGACATGTTCCATTCGTTTAAAAAGTTGACTATAATAGATACAGTACTAAGATCTTTACACACATTATCTATTCTTCAATTTAATCAAACCCTCAAGATTGCCAATAATAATAATTTAAGGCATATCCTGCTACATCTCTCACCATGCTGGTAGACAAACACGTGCTCGTGGGGGAGAGATTCTATTTTTTCCCCCTACAAAACTTAAATCATACTTTATTTACATTTTATCCTAAAGATTATTTTTCCCTCCTCACTTAATAGCATATCACTCTCCAGGCCAATTAATATCATTTTTCTAGTAAGTTCACAATAAGAATTTGCATGATTAAAGCAGCCATTTTTCTACAGAGGAACATTCAAGTTGTTTCCAGTTTTACCACTATAAGAAAAAGCTGCCTGGATTTTTGTACACATATACTTTATGTTATGATGTGTTTAATCCTGTAGGATAGATTCCCAAAGCTGGAATTTCTGGGTCCAAGACATGTTCATTTAAAAATTTTTACAAATATTAAAAGTGCAAGTATCCCTTCTAGAGATTTTAGGAATGATCAGTTAGAACTTAGAAAAGAAGAAGAACCTGAGGTGATTATAGCTGAAATCAGTGATTACAATGTAGGACCTCTAATTTCTACTTTAGTATTAAACTTTTAAAAATTAGTATTTTGGCATTAACATTTTTTTAAGTGTCCATAATATTTTAAAGAACATCTCCCCCTTTCCTTCCTTCCTAAAAGAAATGTAAAAAATAGCTACAAGTATTAGAAACTTACTGATAAAACCCCTCAGAACAGAGAAGTCTTTTTAAGATGTTAACAATTAATGGAGACTTAAGAGAATTTCTCTAGTCTAGGTAGGTTCCTTCCTGCCTCCTGTTGCTTTTAAACTTGGCTTGTCCTCGGCTCACCCTCAGGGACTCTGGCTAGCCAATAAGTCCTGTTCTACTATTGCACATGTGAAATCCATCTCTGGGGTCCACTACTGCCTAACCCTAGCCCCAGTACTTCATTTACTAGGTTCTGGCACATGGCCCGTGATTCTGACACCAGACCTGCTCCTGTTTCAACTTTGCTATTCTAACCTCAGCGTTAACAGCTGGTAATAACCCTGTGGCTACTATTATATATTTTATTTATATTACGTGTAATACCCATACAACTGATCTAGGCCACTTCTGTCTGCAGGGTTAATTCTGCAGGGAATCTTACAGATTGTAGCACAAGCCTATAGACACTAACTTAGCACAGCACTGCAAAACTGAAAATCAGCTTGTCAACCTAAGATGGAAATGCATTCAACATTTTATTTCCAAATACAGCTTCTAACCAATTAAAGAAACAGAAACCGTGGGCCGGCCCGGTGGCGCACTGGAGAGTGCGCCGCTTGGGAGTGCAGCGGTGCTCCCACCGAGGGTTCGGATCCCATGTGGAGACCAGTTCCCGCTCACTGGCTGAGCGCGGTGCGGGCGCAACACCGAGCATTGCGATCCCGTTGCCGGTCCCCGGTACGGGCGCGACACTGAGGGTTGCGATCCTGTTACCGGTCAGTAAAAAAGACAAAAAGAAAAAAAAAAAAAAAGAAACAGAAACCACATCTCCTGTTTTTCAACTAAACTCAAATTAGTATGCAATCTGGCCTCCTTGAACTTTTAGACTTAAGGGAAGGCAGAAAATCTGACTTTGTGCTGCAATCCTAAAAGCAGTTTATTAGTTTTCATACTTTGCAAATCATCAATAATCCCTTTTCCCCTGCATCCATAAGTACTTACGTATTGAGACTTCCACAGATACTGCTACCAGTCCGTGCGGTAAAAACTTTGCTGAGCATGAGCTGTGGAGGGGAACTATAAAGAAAAAGAGAAGATCAGAGTGAGATCAAAACCAAAATACAATGACCTTTCTGATTTATACTCATAGAGATTTCATAGTTACAAGAGCCATTTAGTAAAAATAAAACCACAGAGCATCATAAATTGAGTATGTGACATGCTCAATTAGAGTGAAGATCATATGAAATTCTCTTATCTTCAAAAAAGTGAAAATCTAAAAAACCGATTCATTGAAAAAAAAAAAAAAATCAGAAAGCCCCTCACCGGATCTGATGAATTTTTAAGGTAGATCCTTTGTAGCTCATTGCTACTGAGCCAAACATCATCTCTCCAAGCATATTGGCATCAGAAGAGCACCGAGAACCCTAAACAATAACCATAATATTAATAAAATTGCAGAATTTAAAACTTTATGACTATGTCAAATATTGATTTATACTAAAAACTCCATTGCTATAGTTATTCTACATTAAGGGCTTTAATTCTATATTGTATACAGTGTTCTACATCTTGATTTTCTTCATTTTACAAGGTCTTCTAGATGTAACCATATCATTACACATAGATTTAACTCATTCCTTTCAAGATCTGTACAGTATTTTACTATATGACAATACCACAGTTTATCAGAACAGTTTTCTTTACTGATGGGCATTCAGGTCACTTCCAGGTTTTTGTTACTACAAATAATGCTCAAATGAACATTCTTAATCACAGCTTATGCATATGCAATGTTTCTCCAGGTCAGATAACAAGTGGAATTCACTGAGTACACAAAATAATTTTTACTACTTCTATTGTGCAAAAGAGGAATCCACAAATGGGGCAATTTATATCTATTTTGCATTGTTTTTTAAAAAATCTTTGTGATCTACAGATTCAACGTAATCCTTATCAAAAATCCTAATAGCATTTTTTACAAAAATAGAAAAACATTCCAAAATTCATATGGAACTAAAAAGATCATGAATAGCCAAATCAACCCTGAGAAAAAACAACAAAGCTGGAGGCATGACACTTCCTGATTTCAAAATATGTTACAAAGCTACAGTAATGAAAACAGTATGATACTGGCATAAAGACAGACATATGAACCAATGAAACGTAAGAGAGCCCAGAACTAAATTCACATATATACATTTAACTGATCTTCAAGAAGGTGCTAAACCAATCAAAGTTTTTCTTTCTGTGTTTTTATTTTTTTGGCTGCTGACCAGTACTGGAATCCCAAGAGAGGGTGCTAAGGATAAACAATGGGGAAAGGGTAGTCTCTTCAACAAATGCTGTTGGGAAAACTGGATATCCACACACAGAAGAATGAAACTGGACCCTTTTGCCATACACAAAAATCAACTCAAAACAGACTAAAGAGTTAAATGTAAAACCTGAAACTAAACCTCCTAGGAAACATAGGGGAAAAGCATCATAACTTCAGTCTTGGCAATGAGTTCATGGATTTGACACCAAAAGCACAGGCAACAAAAACTAAAATAGACAAGTGGAGCTACATTAAACAAAAAGCTCTTGCACAGAAAAGGAAACAATCAAGAGGGTGAAAAGGCAACCCACAAAATGGAAGAAAATATTTGCAAACTATATATCTATCTAATAAGGGGTTAATCTCCATAATATACAAGGAACTCCTTCAACTCTATAGTAAAACAACTAATAACCAGATTTTAAAAAGAGCTAAGACATATACCACAAAAACTAAATATCCCCCAATGACCTTAGCCCCACTGCTCCATTCACTCCCAGGTGAGAATTCAGGCAAATGTCCGCAGAGGTCACAGGCAACATACATATGGTTCTGTTGTATCCCATATATTACCCCTTCATGTCCTAAAAATGACATTTTCTCTTAGAGATTTTCATTTCAGTATATCTTTAAAAAACTTGTGTTAACTTGCCTCCATCTTTTTCTTGGGTAAGGACAACCCTGGAACAGCCCTTTTGTGTTGTGTCTATCATGTTGTTCAGAGCTTTTCTTGATAGGCCTAGTATAATCTTGGGAACAGGGTTGCTGTATGCTGAAGGTCTGACAGTAGCTCTTAGCCTTGCCTATCTTAGGTAGTTAGCCTGTGCCTTTTTTTTTTTTATTGGTGCACCATGTTTGATTTGTCCCTGATCCCTTAAATTTGGAGTTTTTCTGCGAAATGGAGCAATAACTCAGCATCAACTTATTAAAATACATTTTAAGCCTTTAAAAAAAATTTTTTTAAAGGGCTAAGGACTTGAATAGACATTTCACCAAAAAATACATACAAATAGCCAATAGATATATGAAAAATGCTCAGTGTTACTAATCATCAGAGAAATGCAAATCAAAACCACAACGAGATATCATCTCTCACCTGTCAGGCTGGCTATTATCAAAAAAACAAAAGACAAGTGTTGGTGAGGATGTAGGGAAATTGGAACCCTTGCACTCTTTCTGGTAATGCAAAATGTTGCAGTCGCTATGGAAAACAGTATGACAATTCCTCAACAAATTAAAAATAGAACTACCATGTGATCCAGCAATCCCACTTATGGGCATTCATCCAAAAGAAATGAAATCAGAATCTTGAAGAAATATTAGCACTTCTATGTGCATTACAGCACTATTCACAATAGCCAACATTTGGAAATAAGCCCAAATGTCCATTGACAGATGAATGGATAAAGAAAATGTGGTATATACATACAATAGAATACTATTCAGCCTTGAAAAAGAAGGAAATTCTGCAATATGTGACAACATTGATAAATCTTAAGGACCTTATGCTAAGTGAAATAAGCCAATCACAGAAAGACAAACATACTTTATGATTCCAAATACATGGGATATCTAACACAATCAAATTCACAGAATCAAAGAGTAGGTAGAATGGTAGTTAGCAGGGGCTGAAGAGAGAAGAAAATGGAAAGTTACTAATCAATGGGCTTTAAGTTTCAGTCAAGCAATGTGAATAAGCTCTAGAGATCTGTACAACACTATATCTATAGTCAACAATAATGTATATTTAAAAATTTAAGAGGGTAGATATATTAACTGTCATCATAATTTTTTTAAGACATTTGAAACATCAGAATGTCTTGTTTTCAGAGAACTTTGATTAAAAAGTTATTCCTTTCTATTATGCTCTAACTGTCCTCACGAGAGTCAGAAAACAGGTAAAAATTAAGCATATCCATTTGGTTACTATTTAGATACCATGACAAATATCACTAACTATCGAACAAATATCTATTCTCCACTTCTTCCTTAGTTTTGAAGTCCAATTTGTTTCAGGGAGCCAATGTGCCCAACTGAAAAATTGCATTTCACTGCTTCACTTGAAGATAGGAGATTTAGTCATTTTTATACCTAAAAGATCAGACTAATGGTTGAAGTAACAGTTTCCAGAACGATACATTTATATATGCATTTGATGCAGGACTGGTCAATGAAATATAAATAGAAGACATTAGAGATGGAGATGCCATATTATGACCAGAAGGCAACACATTAACTCTAAGTTGAAAGATAAGAGAACTTTGGTCTCTGATGACGTCTTGAATCTCATATATCATACCTAGATAGCATACATCCAGACTTCTTGTCATGGGAGGAAAAACAATCCCTAATTTCTTTGAGCCACTGTTTTAGAGAGAGTGTCCCAATGTCCCTAACTGATACAATTATATGATAAACAATCAATGACCTAAAAAAACTATGTAAGATAGTAAATGAGGATTATTTACAAATTTTACTAAACCATTCATTATGGAAAATCAAAACTTAAAACTTTTCTAAAATATTTTTAAATTTCTAATGATAATAAAATGATGAGAACCCCCATTTTACAACTGGAGACCAGGGAATACATTTGCACACTATTTTTCTTTTTATAATGTGATTCTTTTAGACTTTTGTCTGTTTATTGCTTATCTTAACTCTTCCTATTACTTTGTGTAAAACAAAAATAATCTACACATTTTAATTTTTTCATCTTTATTTAAAACAATACATTCAAGTAGCAATCCATTTTATTGTGCATAACTATTTTTATATTAGTTTTTTATATATTCATTTATATGTTTTTTTCTTTCTCAGGGCTATACACTTAATTTTGTTTTAATAAAGATGCAAAGTTAAGTTTTGAGAAAAAAATCATTTCTGTTATACCTCAGGTTACTAATAGGAAACAACTCATCTATTTTTGGGATTTGGTTAAGATCGAAATTTTTATTTCAGGGCACAGAGGCCTGGGTACTGAGAACAACATTTTAGAAACAGAGCAGAATAATTTTTTTAATGATCACAGGGTTTTTTTGGTTTTGTTTTGTTTTAAGATCAGTGCCAACTTACTTGGCAACCTAAGTTACTTCTGGCTAATGACAGAATGAGAGCCTTCTCTCATAAGCTCATTTTTGCTATTATGTGTCTAACTCATTGCTATTTTGAATAAAATTATCTCATATTAAGCAAGCTATATGAATTTTAAAATGAAGGCATTTATACATATTTACTATTACAGACAAAAAATCCATTAAAAGCAAAATATGGTAAAAACAAATGCTGTTTAAATTTTATGAGACCATATAATTTGCTATTAAGGTTCTCTTTGCCTGCTCTAACATATACCAAATATTTATCATGAATGTCACTGGCATGTTATATATTTTAATGTGACATAATCCACAATGAAGGTTATAATTAAGAAAGTGGTATTATCATTGCTGCCTTTTTAAAAAAGCTTTATTTAGGGCCGGCCCGGTGGCGCACTGCTATAGTGCGCCACTTGGGAAGTGCGGTGGCGCTCCCGCCGAGGGTTCGGATCCCACATACAGACTGGCCGCTCACTGGCTGAGCGAGGGGCGGGAGCAACACAGAGGGTTGCGATCCCGTGGCCGGTCCCGGTCCGGTACGGGCGCGACACTGAGGGTTGCGATCCGTTGCCGGTCATGAAAAAAGACAAAAAAAAAAAAATAAAAGGAAAAATAAAAAATAAAAATAAAAAAGCTTTATTTATAAGGTCTATTCTCTCCAAATACTCATTGCTGAAAGCTAATGATGTGTTACAACCTTATAACTCAAAGATAATGTTCAAGTTACCTGAAATCATATTTTGTCAAGTGGAGTGAACTATACTACAATAATTCAATGCTTTCTTGCTAACAAAGCAAATCTCTAGGGAGTCTAACGCTAAATATTCACTCATTGCTTCAGGGTATGTATAATCTGGATCAGTTTGCTAATATTTATTTTTAACCACGTAATATCAGGAAGAAAGGCAAGTTTGCACAATTGATCAAATTAGAAAACTTCCCAAATTGTGCAAACTGACATAAATCCTGATGGGGTTAAAT